GGAGATAAAACAGGCAAAAAATGCTCTGATGAAGCAGCATCCTACAGGAATTCCTGGGATTAAGTGGTAGGCAGCAAATATACCTTTAGTTAAGCACTACTGCACCCTCATTACTGTGTGAGACTAATCACTAACCCAGGAGAATAAAAATGGCTTTTACAGGCTGATATTGCCTTGGAAGAGTAGAAGTTAATCAGCTGATGGTAAATGTCCCTCCATAAAACCACCAGGCTCCCCATTCCCAATGGATTGGCTGGAGTTAGTCATGGCAATCAAAGGAATACAGGTGATTAACCATTACTGCCCAGGAAAAGTGGGAATTAGTGAATTAACACAAGGCAGGCAGATTTTCACTCAGCTGAGGCTGACGAGGGGCTGTGGGTGTTTTGCATCATAAGCAGGAATTGTCTCCTTACCTGGCACTTCCCAGGAGCTGCTCCAGTCAAACGTGACAGAAATTGTCTCCCCCCAACAACCAGCCAGAGCATCAGACTGGACCAGCATAAAGCAAATGTATCTTCAGTTGGTCCCTGGAATTCATACAAATGATGGGAGTTGTTAGCACAGCCCCACATGGCTCTGATTCACCAGCATGGCTTAAGAATCAGGGTAATTAATGAGGAAAAGGCAAATAAATGCAATATATAAAATTACACACCCTCATTCTCCTGGGGTGGCCAAATTCCTGCTGTGCTCTTTTCCTCAGCCCAGCTGCCCAGGAGGTGAGCACAGACCAGCTGAGCCCCTTCCTGACAGTCTCCTGGCCAGTCTGCATGGATGCTCTGACCCTTGGAGCCCAAAGCTTCTCCTGGGGGATGCTGGATGGGACTGAGGTGTGGGAATGCTGGTCCATGAGAGCATCTTGTGAGCCCCATCCCGGGCAGATCGGACTCGTTTCCACCTCTGGCTCTCCAGCCTTCCCCAGCCTTGCAAAGAGCTTTGCCCACCCCTCCCAAAGCCTTGTGCCCCCAATTCCACCTCTGGCTCCCCCTCAGCCCAGCCCTGGGCAGGTCCAGCCCCTCAGGCAGAGAGTGGTGCTGCTCCAGACCTTGGATGGGCTGTTCCTGCTCAGCAACCTGGGCTGGTGGAACCCATGGCAGGGGGTGGAATGAGATGAGCTCCAAGGTCCCTTCCAACACGGACCATTCCATGATTCCATGGTATTTGCCATCTGTTCCCATTCAGCAGCCTGTGGTTTCCAGCCCCCATTGAGCAGTGTCTGGGATGGCTGGGACAGGATCATCCTCACTCAGCAGCTCTGCCTTCCTTCCAGAACTGCTCCCATGAACTGTGGGTGCCACTGATCCCTCTGCATTGCTCAGAGGGGGGGTTTAATCAGCACAAAGCAAAGATCTCACCCATGAAGGAGGAGCACCCGCAGTCCCAGGCATTAGAGATGCTCTCCAGGATTGAACAGCTGCTGTGGGTGAGTGATCTCCAGGAAAATGTACAAAATCAATCACCAAGAAGGCAAATGATCTCCAGCTCAGCAGCTCTGCTGTGGGTGGGTGGCTCTGTCACACTGGGAAACACCAAATTTCCAATATCAGCCTGACTTCCATTCATTTCATCCCAGCATGAGGTGGGGACATGAAGGAACATC